AGTAGACACAATATGTCTATATTATTCAATGAAAATGGTGTGTATGTATATATATATACCTTCAAATTACTGGTCTTCTAAATTTAGCTGAAACTCTGTTCCACACATTAGGATAATTCATTATCACAACTGTTAAAGAATTCAATAGATTTAGCTTACTCTGATAAGTGAGACTGTTTTGTGCATGTGAGTAACATTAAAAAGGATTCCGCTGAAGCAAAAAAAAAAAAAAAAAAATTTGATGGATTTTTTTTTTTTTTTTTGCAGGTCATTTAAATCCAGAAAATATTTTTAGATTGTAGTAATATCTTTAAGCAGTCACTCATCTAAGTACTTACCAGTTTTGATTATACAAGAACCAGTGAGATGGCAGTAAGCCCCAAGCCTTGCCAAAAAAGATCTAATGGATGTTGGATCAGCAGACTAAGAGCTTTTTGAGCACCACTATGTATATTGCGGATTGATCCTCACCTACCTGTTCCATCTGCCTAAAAGTTCGCAAAACACCTGCAGGCCTTCCGAGACATATGCGTGTCCATGAACGTTGAGCATCTCTTTATTTTAGTGCACCATCATTTGTCATCTATGACGAGAGCCCACCATATATATATATATATATATATATATATATCTCCAAATGGGTAAAAATTTTCTAACACTCCTTATTTGTTTTTTACGTTTTCAAAACCAGCCTCTCCCTAATTTAGAAATTGTATTTCTTATTTCCAACATTATTTTCAGTTTTAAAATTTAATCCAAGCTTAAATTCAAATTCAAAATTAAGCTACAATTCTTTTAAAATTTTTTAACTCTAATAATATTCCCCCCAAACAATTATATAGCTTGTGCAATCCAGAAATAAAATTTAAAAAAAAAAAAAAACATGGTGTCGACCCAATATGTAAATAGAAATAAAAATAAATATAATTACAGCATTTGAAAATTGCTTTGGCATGAAATGCTGAACTGTGCAATTAATTTAATATATATTATAAATGTAAAAGGCAATAGGAAAACTGTAATAGCCAATGCATTTCGTTTTTGCCTTGAGAAAGTCCACATTGGATGAAACGCATTGGCTAATAGTTTTTCTGTTGTCTTTTTCTGCAGGTTAACTGAAAAATTTTGTGTGTGTGTGTGCGAAAATTAGAGGATTTAATTTTTAATCTGAAATTATTTCTTACGCTAGATGTTATTTTAGCAAATACTCACATAGTAGACAATTTATTTTTAACAGTGAATTATGTCTATTGGTCTGCACATTCAAAAGACTGAAAGAGGAAGTGGGGTAGATTTGAGTCAATTTTGGAGAGCACATTTTCCTTAAATGTCCTAAATGTACAGGCTGATAGACATAATTAACTAAATTAATGTTTAGTAGTAATTTAAATAGGTAGCATGAAAAAAAAAAAAAAAAAAAGACCTCAAACTTAATAAAAACAAAGTTTTATCATCAAAATGTTTATGTTATTAAGAGGAAAGACAAAAATATTTTTTTAATCCTTTCTAGCACATTGGAAATTTTTGTTAAAAATTGTTTTTCTTTCGTCAGTGATGGAAGCAAAGATTAGCATTAGGAAATTTAGTGCCTTTTTTCCAGTAAAAAAAACAAAAAACAAAACATTGATTTGCAAATAGGCTTGCAAAAAATCAAATAATTGTCAGATTTTAATGAAACTTTCAGGACTTATTCACAAATGAATAAAATTATTTTAGAAATTACCATTAAGAAGATTTTGGTAGAAATATTTATTTTTTTTTTTTTTTTTTTTTACATCTGTTACCCACCTCCCCTGTTTTTAATTAATGAAATTTCAAGAAATTAAATTGTGTCCTACTTCAGATTGATATTAGTTAAAAGCAAGACTCCTTGGAGAATGTAAATCATCAGTTTTTTTTTGTTTTTGAAACAGTAACTCTTACTGAAAATCTGTGTGGAATCGTAAAATAAAAAATGCTATCAAACTAAGACATTTAATTAGAAAAGTTTTGTTTTATGAATAAGATATATTAAGGACAATAGTGTCTTAAGAGAAACATTTTTCAATGAATAATGAATTTTTACAAGAATTTTTTTTTTTTAAATTAGAATAATTTATAGTTTTAAATCTTTTATATTTCTGTATTAATTTGTACTATTTAGGTGAAATTGTTATAAAGTAAAAACTATATTTAGTAATCATAAAAGGTTATACAAATCATCAAACTAATATTTTTTAAAAGAATTTTGACTTTTTTTTATATATATGTATAAATGTGCCGATTTTCTATTCTAAGAGTGATAACTATTCTAAATTTACAGCAAAAAATACTTAAAATTCAATAAAACATTAGATTATGGAGAATATTTTCCATTTTTAAGATTACTGTGGTGGGGTAATGGATAGCAGCTCAGATTGAGAAATCAGAGAGCAAAATTTAAATTCCAGTCAAATCTATTACATTCACTTACATGCTGATACCCTTGGGAAATGTATGAATCCTCTTCTCCACACAGCTATGGGTAAACAGCAGGACAGACCACAACCTACTGCAGGAAAAAATCTGCCTCGTCAGTCATGTATCAAAAGATACATGATCACCTAAGCATGTATCACGCATGGCACATAACTGACTGATAAATAGACCAACATTAGATAAATGTCAAACCTACAAACTCCTTAAATAAACAGCTACTGTCTGGTTAAGAAATGCATTTTTTTTTTTAACGATATTTTAAGTTTAATGTAAATATTTTTTCCAAATAAAATTAATCATATTTTAAATCAGCTGATATTCCTCAAATGAAGTTTCACAGAAGTATATTTTACTTTTGGAAGATTTTTTAATAAAGTAATTATTGCAATGAAAGACGACTAAGAAATGGCACTAATCAGCTATTTTAGCAAAGAAAAAAAAAAATTAAAGAAATTCTTTCCGGTCTATTTAAATTAGTTTTTGAAATACCAAAGTATTTTGCTTATTGGAAATATTAACTTTAAAATAAAAGCCTCAAGATTTTTTCATTTTTTAAATTCATTTTAAACCTTAGGTATTTTTTTTTTTTTTTTTTGAGGTGTGTGTATTATATATATTATTTGAGTCTGTATTGAGCCCTTTTTCTAAAAATTAAATGCTACAGACAGTGGAATTATACTGCATTTGTTCTTATCCCCTATCTGTGTGTGTGCATATATATATATATATATATATATATAATAAATACATTGAGCTGTTTTTATGGATCAGTTTTAATATTTTGTATTATTAGAATTCACTTGATTATTACCTATATATATATATATATATATATATATATATATATATATATATATATGAGACTTTCTCCATTGCCTTCGATATGTGAGGGCCCAACAATTTCAGCTCCTAGAACCATCCACACTTATTAGTAGAACTGAATACAGAGAACTAGTGTGCCACTTTTTACTAGACTGGTTGCCAAACACAGCTAGAGAACCTAGTCTGCTTCGCTATTTGACTGGTGACAAAGCAGAGATGGATTTATACCTTTCTCAAGGGTATTTGCATGTAAGTTATTGTAATGCAGCCAAATTCAAACTCAGCTCTCTAATTTCTCATTACCATTAGCCATTACACCAGCATGCACGTGTGTGTATGTGTCTCTATGAGCTGTGTGTAAAAGGTTGTCTGTGTACTCTCCTTCCTGCACCATTTCTTTTGGAAACTACAAAAGTAAATATACTGAAAAAGACTTTCTGAATAAAAATGTTGGGAAAATGCTTTGCACACAGCTAATCGTTTTAGATTTTAGTTAAATAAAACTTATGGGTAGTTAGTTTTTAACTGGAAAAGAACATAGGAAAGGTCAAATGGCAAAAGTTACAATATTAACACAATAACAAAATAGAAGGCCTTATACACGAGAGAGAAAGAAGAAAATCCAAGATAACTATTTGGTCCATACTTTAAATTTGCCAAGCACCATTCTGCCTACTTGGAATGGAACCCAAAGTTGTTTTAAGATGGGAGGTGGCTGAGTGAAAAATAATCAAACCACTACAGGTATGTGGTGTGGTGGGGATTTTTTTTATTAAAATGGCTTAATGTTTTGTGGGTTATTTAAAGCCAAAACATATTTCAAATTATAAAAAGTTTCTTACAGTACCCAGTGTTTCAAAGTAGTCACCCAACTAAGTACTGACTGGGCTTAATTATGGTGAATGTACAAGAACCAGTGTTTTCAACATAATTAAACTGTAAATTTTTTTTTTTTCCCTCTCTCTCTAAAGAATTTCTACCTGGGGGAAAATCTGGAGAGATAGATAGAAGGAATGAAAAAAATGTTACAAGTTAACAAAAAGAAAAGCTTCAGATTTTTGTAATTTAAAGTTTTATTGTTGGTACAGCTTTTAAGATTTTTGTTATTTTTCTTTTTTTTTAATATATTTTTTTTTTTCTTTTTTTTTTAAATTTTTGTACTGTTCTCTTTAGTAGTCAGGAAACTGACTGAAAGACTAAATACAGATTCAGTTGCAGAATACTGAAATAGTGAGCGATAACATTTTTTTTTTTTTAAATATTTTAAGAGCAGATGTGATTCACATATTGTCTGCCCGTCCAGAGAGAACACAATCCAGACTCAAATACAGTAGCATTGATTTTATTCACACTGTATACACATTGTATACCTGATTGTCATTGTGTTTTATGTTTATTCATTGTTACTATTCGTTTTCAGACACACACAACTTCTAAGCCTGGACAAATAGAAATGAGGTGCATGTGAACGGTCAGTTTTCACTGATAATTGCCTTGCCTTGGACAACAGGGACATGCCTACCTGAATAACACATACAGGCTCATAGGCTACAGGGATAGCTGGCTGTTCCCTGCTGTATACCGAGGTTTAAAGGGATTAGCGAACGACTGTCCTAGACACTCCACTTTATACAGGCACATGTACTCAGCCTTTAGGGACAAACAACTTAACCACATTCTAAAAAGTTTTTTTTTTTTTTTTAATTTTAAAAAATTATAAATCACATGGCACTCGACTGGTTCCAGTTCCAGTTCTGAAAAGAGAAGAAAAAAAAAAAAAAAAAAAAAAAAAAGAAAAAAAACTTTAATTACATGAGGAATATATAGACAATCTTACCTCTGTCCCATAATTGTTGGTACATTTGGGGACACATTTCATACTCTAAACGTAATATCTATTATGGGACAGAAGTACTTTTTATGCTACAAATCTGCCTTTTTTACTGTTTTTTTTTTAAGTATATTCTCACAATCTATAATCATACTAATGTGGTTTGGGGGGGGGGGGGTTAGTAATCAAGATTTCAAGGTATTAAGTAATCCCCCACCCAATAATATATAATTTGTCCAGAAATAGCAGTTTTGATCCTAAAATGATCTGTAGTAATCTCTACTGACCTCAAAAATCAGTACCACCCATGTTTATCCTCAAAATATGGCCTTGTGTCAGACTAAGCTTAAATTTATGTAAAGATCATTATAAGTTGTTTTATACCAATTTAACCTACTAATGCCCATTGTAAGATCCAGATTTAATTGTATGTTTCTACTATTAACCAATTCCCAGCATCCAAAAAATGGGAAAATGGTTAAAAAAAGAATTTAACACTACTACAAAGATTGCACATACAAAACCACGTTTCGTTATATGCTCTCACTAGAGTGGCCTTTTGTCAGTCTTTAATCGTCATAATAAACCTACCTTGAATGAATAATAAATAAAAAAAAAAATTAAAAAAAAAAAGTCCAATTTCATTTTAATAACCATCTGGAGGCTTTCATTTATGATGGACAAACTAAACAGCAAGAAATAATACTACTGACACTAATAAGAACAATTCCTATAATAATAACGATAACTATAATAACAAATACTAACAATACTAGATCATATTACTAATACTAACAATAATAATGTTCAATATTTACATTATACCCAGAAATTCATACACAGATGTCCTCAAGGACACATGGCACAGTGGATAAAGGTGTTAGTTAGATAAAGTGACAGGATTGAAGAGTGTGAGTTCAATACCTGGTTAAGGCAGTGGAGAACTTTTAAAGGGGAATTAACAGGAGATAACATAACTGACATCCATTAAACATGGCACGGTGAGCGAAATCAAGGGTTCAGTTCAACACTTCAACCACCTGAAGAAGGCCGGAGCGTACAATGGCCGAAACATAATAAATATGGCAACAAAGATGAGGACAATAGTCTGAATGATGTAAATAATGTACATAATACCACATCTCAGAAATACAGACAAATAATGATGTTACTGGTAAGTAAAATCCAAATTTAGAATACATTTTTTCAGGGTTTTATTTTAGATAAACTTTTACAAAAGAAAATATTGTTTACTATATCTAAGTTAATACAAAATTAGACAAGGTGATTTAATCATTGTGTGTAACATATTTTGTCCTCTAGAAGAACTTAGACAAAAGTAATGTTTTTGTTCATGGAGTTATATGTGTTGGAAAGAGAGGAGGAGATAGAAATAACACAAGTGTCAGTTAAAATTATGAAGAAAATAGGAAATGATGAAATGTTAATTTTTTTTTTTTTTTACTTTTGTTTTGGCATGTAGTCTAGCTGATTTCAATTTCCTTATTCTTTTGACTTTATCATTTTTTATTAAATATCCGACATTGTGATAATAGAAGATCTGACAAGAAAGGTGAAATATTGCAAGAACCTCGATGTAAATTTTACTATGGATGGTCTAGCAATTAAAACACATTCTATACACCTTTGGAGGCACCTCGAGTTGGTGCAATGCTCAGCAAACTTGTCTCGCTAGAACAATTACAACTGAGTCATGAGTTCAATTCTCACAGGGAACCCCTGCTTTCAGCCTTGTGCCATATCTAAGCTATGCTTGAAAATCAATGGTACCTCAAGGTGGTGTAATGGTTAGCAAGTTTGTCTTGCTAGAACAATTACGACTGAGTAGTGAGTTCGATCCTCACTAGGTGCAAACTACTTTCAGCCTTGTTCCAAATCTAAGCTATGCTTGGAAAAGTGGGGCACCTCAGTGTAGTGTAATGGTTAGCAAGCTTGTCTCGCTAGATCAGTTACAACTGAAAAGTGAGTTTGATCCTCACTAGGTGCCCCATATTCTCGGCCTTGTGCCACATCTAAGCTAAGCTTGGAAAAGCAGAGCCACTTCAGCGTGGTGTAATGGTTAGCAAGCGTGTCACACTAGATCAGTTACAACTGAAAAGTGAATTCGATCCTCACTAGGTGCCCCATATTCTTGGCCTTGTGCCACATCTTAGCTACACTTAGAAAATAACCATTCTATACACCTTTGTCTTAGAAAATTGTCTTCTCTTTTAATAAAAAGTATTTAAAAATCAAAATTATGGTCAGATATATTACGATGATCAACTAATACACTGAGTGTGTTTTGTAAAAGATCTTTTTTGTGATCATATAATCTTTTATTTAAATTCCTTCAGGTTTCTTCTATATATTCCTTATGGCAATCATGACAGTTGAGAAAATAAATTCTTCCTTCTTTTATTGTTTTAAAAAGAGTAGTAACAATTTCTATGTTAAGCTTAAATATCATAAATTGCAGTGTACAAGTCTAGTTTTCAAATTTAAAAAGAAATCTTTCCAAAACTAGGGGCCAAGTTATATGGCAAATATAAAATACAAACCGAGTTATTTACATTTTTCGGACTAGTCCTCATCTTTGTCATATTTATCACAACGTTTCGGCCGTTGTACACTCCGGCCTTCTTCAGGTGGTTGGAATGTCAAACTGAACCCTTTATTTCACTCACTGGGGTAGACTGTTCTAATTCCACATGCCATGTTTGATGGCTGTCAGTTATCAGTTATCTCCTAATAAAGGCGTTGGTTAGATCCAGTGACAGGACCCAAAGAGTGTGAGTTCAATACCCAGTTAAGGCAGTGGAGAACTTTCAGAGGGAAATTAACAGGAGATAACTCCATCAAACATGGCACATGGAACTAGAACAGTCTACCCCAGTGAGCAAAATAAAGGGTTCAGTTAAACATTCCAACCACCTGAAGAAGGCGGGAGTACAACAATGAAACGTTGTGATAAATATGGCGACAAAGATGAGGACAATAGTTCGAATAATGTAAATAATGTACATAATACCTCACCTCAGAAATATAGACAGACAAACAGAGTTGTAAACAAGTGAGACAGCACTCCAAACAATTACTGTACACCACTTACCAAACCTCCAGCAGGCTGCCTCAGATATATCCCACTAAAACTTGTGTTTGGTGAATAATATTTTACATATTGTTATAGTGGAACACATCTATTCTATAGTTAATAGACTCTCCCACCTATAATAAGTAGGATGGATGGATGTTGGATTTAACGGCATGTCAACTCCTATTATAATAAGTAGGAGTAGTAAGAGTAACGAGGGAGTCGCTCAGTCGGTCGGGCAGTCATTTGATGCCAGACGACTGTTAGTCGGATACTAAAGTATCAGCGACCACAACTAGATTTCTCTGCGTCATAACCTATTATATCAAGTTCCTAACGTTTTGTACGTCAAACCTATTTTAGGACCAACTTAGTACAAATACAAATTTCCACTGTGAAAGCACTCCATAACACATATTAACACAGAAATTAATAAAATAGCAACACAGATTCAGGACACACAACATCCAACAGCTGATATACTAAGATGTAAATGGCGGATGAATGATACTGTGTTTTGCAACAAAATACTGTGATACTGGCAAATTGAAAGAAAAGGGTTGAAACTAAAATATAACTTTGGAACAAGATGAAAAGCGTCAAAGGATGGAACTATAGACTCGGTGAAATAATAGAGATTACTTTTAATTTAAAAAAAAATTTTTTTTTTTTTTTTTTTTTTTTTTGAGCAGGGTTGGCTTGAACTGTTGGGACGATGTTAGCACAGAGGCCATCTGGTAAATCTGGGCTGATGATTGATTAATGACACTGCCTTAAAATGGAAGTTAAAAAACCAGGAGAATCAGCTGAAAAAGGAAGCCGATTGAAAAGATAATATTTGGTGATTTGTAAAGACAAGGCAAAATTAAAAAACTGATTCATTCCGCCTATCAAAATGTGGAAATTGTAAACAAGTCAAGAAAATAGAATTTCTTTATGTAAGGACCCAACCCTGTGTTCTTAAAATGTGATGACCCTAACAAGATAGGGAGATAAGCTGACCGGAGGAAATGGCTGCTAAATTTCTGATTGTATAAACAAGACCAGGCTGGGAAAAATTTGCTGACAAGAAAATAAAAATAATTCTAATTAATGACCAGAAACTAAGCCACACTATGCGGGTTTTGGAACCAGATTTGTCAAAAGGACAACCAAGGTGACAGACGTAGGTGAAATACTTTTGTGCTGGTGAGACACAAAATTACTAGGAAGAGGAAAATGGTCAAACACTTATGTCCCGACCCCAAAAAGAAGAGGTATTGAGCAAAATTTCATGGGAAAATTAACTCAGGGGGAGGTGTTGTAATGGAATGTCCCACACTCCCTATCGCCTATGTGAACTGTATCAGTAGATATATATAGTGAGCACAGACTATACCTGGGGACTTGCTTTGGGAATTAGTTGGAGATTCGTCTAAGCTAGTCGAACTCTCTGCCTTCGGATGGAGAGGAACCCAGACGAGGCTATGCCAAAGGGCAGAGTCTCGTCTGGGGTGGTAGACAGCTACCTGATCCCGTTTTTTTACGGAGTCTATGGGGAATTTTTGTCCGAGCCCGTAGGCTCGGATACCCCACGTTAAATTGTGCCACATCTGACCGGGTGGGGCAGTTGGCAAATATCCTTGTTTCGGGAATTACTAGCCTGCTACCCAATTTCCTGTCTTTCAGTAGTGTATTCTCTTTTACAATAAACCTCTCTTTCTTTCATCTATGCACGTGTTGCTGTTCCTTTCATTCAAGTCCCACCTTTGTCTGTTTGTAACCTTCTTCAAGGATACAACAAGCACCAAGGACAGAGGAATTACCTACGCTCGTTAAAAGGTGTTGGTACAAGGTATAAATAAGAGAAAGGAGTTATCAGGGCGGATTGATACCTGTGACCACTGCCCATAGTAAATTAATTTTCCAGAGCCAAACAACAAAAGAGCTCTTGTTGTAAGATAGGGGAAAAACAGAGTTCCCTAAGCACGTCAACCCTCATGCTAGTTTTGAGAGAAAGTCAATATAAGCAGAACACTGGAGTGACCAAGGGAGTTCCAGAGATGCCAATTCCAGAGTGCAGATAACAAGACAACTACTCTTTCAAATCCTACATGACTTGCTGCTAGAGTGAACCTCCGACTTAAGTCTTGTTCCAGACTTAGCTAAGTTGAGCAAAGTATCATGATAGAATTCAAAATAAGAAGAGTTAATATTTCTGTCCAAAGAACGATATAAACCTCAGAAATAGACTCTGAAGAAATTCCTTTTTTTTTTTCTTTATTTTTGTCTGCAAAACACTTTTTTTTTTTTTTTTTCTCCTTTGTGACAGCTTCACCAGGATCAAACCAGCACTACAATTGCTGAAGACAACTTCATCTTTGCTGGCTCTATGATTAATTAATACAAATGGGGCACAGATCAGAACGACAAACTCTAACAGCAGCACTGACCAGGGACCAACCAGCAAGAAGTGTTACAATACAACATGTAGAAGTACTATCAAAAACTATCAGATATGATGTATAATCTACAGGATTAATATTTTATAGGAGTTCATGTTGATTTTAATGTGTTTATCAGTAGACCTGATGAATTTTAAATGTTTGCTAAGTTATACAATACCTACTGGTATGTCTTGTAGGTTGTTATACAACACAGAAAAATATTATGGTTAGTGTCTCAATATACAGGTAAGTAGGTACCTCCATGAGATCGCTAAAAAAATTGCATAGCATGATGAAAAAGACGTAAACTTGACGAAAACAAAAATTTTATCGTCTAAATGTTTGTTATTAAGAGGAAAAGGTCAAAAGTATTTTTTAAGTATTTTTTCCCATTTTTTTAATCGTTCCTAGCACGTCCAAATTTTCGTTAAAAATCTAGTTTTTTGAGTCAGCAAAATTGATAATTTTTTTCCATTTAAAAAAAAAAAAATGGAAATCTGACTTTGAAATTTTTTAAATATCAATTATCATTTTTCAAAACTTATTTTAAGAAAATCAGAAATTATGTTTATTTAAAATATATTTTGAACCAAACTTAACTTAGCTTTTGTGCCAAAAAGATGTAATTTGAAAATAAAACAAAGCAGGTCATAAACTTTTAGCGTCTCTTGACATGTGATGAATGATATATTCACGGTTCCATGAGGCTAATTTGTTCTCTGGAAGGAGAAAAGTGAAATAATTTACATTCACGTGAACAAATTATTTACCCGTTATTTTTAACGAAAACTTTCAGCAGTCTAATTTTTTTTTTTTGTACTTAGCTTTCACCTTTACGTTTATGATGCTTTATGGGAAATATATTGTAAAGAAATTAAAATAAAACTTTTAAAGAGTGACATTAAATTTCATATTTCTTAAGAAAGGTATCTAATTAATTTATAGGTACCTTTCTTATGAAATTTTATCAGAATTGTACATAAAATACTATAATTTTATGTACATTTATTACATTCTACTGTTATTTATATTTGGATTCATTTATTATTAATTTTGATATTTCATTTATGGAAAAATGTCATAACTGAGATTAATATAAAATGTAAGATCATATAAATTTCATAAGATGATACTGATACTTGTAGGTACCTTCTCAGTTGAAATTGAAAAATCAAATTAACTTCTCCACACGTGTTTCGCAAAGTAAAAGGCCTTAACAGCGGAGAACAATGCTTAACTCAAATAACACAACTTAATTATATTCTGGTTGGTCTTCCGTATTTTATAATTACAACTCGATTATAAGCACAAAATTACATTTCTTAATTACTGGGTATCTTCTGATTAGTCAAAATGATACAATTTACAACGCTTTAAAAAAGATCTATCTCATAAGGACACTTATGAAAGCCGATTCTTTTTTTAACTAATTTTATAATATTTTAACAACTTAAATGTAAAATCTATTATAATTAATGAAATAACAAATAATTGTATTAAAATTCATTTTTCATCGAAAAATTTTTTTGCTTTCAGAAAATATTGTCCATATTCATAAAAAACAACTAAAAGCAAATAAAAGCATTTGAAAATTAAATAATATCTTTGTTTTATTGAGTTTTGTATGTTACAATTCAGAGCTGATTTTCAGGTATTATGATCCAATTAAAAAACAAAAAAAACATGATTTGCATTCTCAACGCCTGTGCTTTTAATTATTGTAATCACTAAAACCGATCGATCGAATTTCTAGCCTTTTCATAAAAATTAGTTAGGGGGGTAATAAATATTTTAAAACAATATTTCTACCATAACTTTCATAAAAAAAACATATTATAATAATTTCGATCATCTGAAGAGTTCCTGAAAGTTTCATTAACATCCGATAATTATTTCTATTTTGCACGATTTTTCAAATTAATGTGTGTCATACCAAAAAACGTGCTAAAAAATTGTCTATATTATTTACTAGTTCCGCTGATACAAATAGAAAAAAGGTTTTTTAATCAAAATTTAGAATGTTCTAAAAGGAAATTTTTAAAAAATAATTAAAAAACTTGGTCTTTCCTCTTAATAATAACATAAGCATTTAGACAATAAAATTTTGTTTTCGGCAAGGTTGGCGTCTTTTTCATCAAGCTATGCTCTTTTTTTAGCGATTTCGTGGAGGTACCTAGGTAAGTGGTATGATTTTATGTAGTTTTGGCACAGGTTACCATTTATAGAATAATATATCTTGGTTCGTCGGATCAACAATAATGAAACCTGTTACACAATATTTTTTTTTTTTTGCCAATTCGCCATTTATTTGCCTAACATTATTCTGATATATTAGAAATTTATATATCACATTCTTCCTCATAGTAAAATGTAATTTAATACGTAATATGGTTTGTTCAGACTAAATTCATTTTTTTTTTTTTTCTTTAAATTAGTTGTTTCGTCTTTAAAATTATGACATTTCAGCCATCTTGCATTTTGGAATGTTAACTCTTTAAACTCTAACGAAGCCAGTGCTCTCTCTCTCTTCTGATGTTTGAGTGCAGTCACCAAATTACAACAGACATCAAAATTAAGGTCTAAGGTTATGAGGCTGAAATGTAGCAATGAAACAAAAGAAAATCAGCCTAAACCAAACAAAGAGAAAAACCAAGAAATGTTTCAGAACACACATAAATCATTGTTTCAAGCAAGTTTTTTTATTTTCATGACACATTAATGTTTACATAATGGTTACGTAGTGCCAAACAACTCAAATAGATTAATAAATTTTAATTAAATATCTAGTTTTCTTTCTTTCCTTTTTTTTTTTTGCTGCTGCTGTTGCTTATTATTATTATTAATATTATTATTATTATTATTATTATCAGCAGCAGCAGCCTCCAAAAGATTTCACTTGTGACTTGCTTGGCATTCAAGAGATGCAGTTGCTTTTGTCCAAGTGTGAGCTGGGAATGGAGGAGGCAGACAGATGGTTGCCTCTGTCTATTAAATAGATTAATGAAGAAACAAATTATATACCACTTTGTCAGTAGCATCGGTAGCAGGCAACTTCCATACTTCCTTGGGAGCAGGTACCCCATACATTGAGGGTACCTGGGTGGGTGAGTTGCTGGTCCAAAGGGGACACTTGGAATACCATACTGATTCGGTGGTGCAATAACAGATGTTGATTACTCTGCAAATAGACAAAAGAATATTCAACAGAAAATGAAAAAGGATCATAAAAGACAGTAAGAGGTTAAAAAGAAAATAATTCTACATAGAACATCCAGGCTTGTTTGCCTGCTTCACTCAAATATAAAGACGGGGTGGGGTTATGGGGCAACAAGGTAATGATTAGTTAAATGAAACCTGCAAAAAATTCAGCAACCTCTTTCACTGACAAATAACACTAATTTCAAAACAACATTTCTAGTTCTTTCACTTAATTGTCTGAAAGAACTTTTTTCTTTTTTTTTTGCCTTCCATCAGCATGGTTGATGCTAAACTCCAGGAGAGCGACTCATTGAGTCTTCTTGGGCTAATGTTTTCTGCTTAGATGAAATGGAAAGATTATATTGAATCAATTGCTAGGTCGGCTGCTAGGAAAGTTGGTTCACCGTGACGTACTAGACATTTTTTTTTCTCTCTCCAGAATCTATCTTACACATTTATAAGTCTACTATTCGTCCAAGAATTAAATATTTCTGTCACATCTGGTTTCGTGCTTCTGCTATGTATTTAGAGATTCTTGATAAAATACAAAGAATCTGCAATGTTATTGGTCCTGACATCCCACCACCGTAACACCATGTTTTCTATAAATATTTTTGTGGAAATCATTCAGATAAGCTTTCCTCTTTGGTACCTATACTTAATGAATTTAAGCACAGTACTAGATTGGCAGCTAGGTCTCACCATTTTACAGTTGAAATGGCAAGACGTAACAGTGAGTTCTATGTTAACAGTTTCTTCTCTCACACTTCTCACTCGTGGAACTCTTTTCAACTTCTCGGTCAACTTTAATATTCAAAAAATTAAATGCAATGTCAATTGTTATCTTTTGTCTTCTTAACAAATGTTTTCTTTTTATTCTCTCACCCATGGCATTTTAGTGTCTTTATTGCCTTGCTTGGGTGAAATGATTTATTTCTAAGGCTTAAATAATGATTGATTAGATAAAGATAATCACAGACTGGTGAGTTAGTGCAAATTGTAGCTTTTAAGCTAGAAAAATAAAATGAATGATCTATGTGCCATGTCTATTCAGGATGTTGGTGATAATGGCTCTCCATAATTTCCTGTCCTTTTTAACTATTAATAAATTTTGTCTTTTTACTACCTCCCCCAAACTCTGCTCCACCATCCATTCACTTTCCTCTGGTCTTACCTCCAGTCTGTCCTGTGAGTATCCAATTTCCCAAGCCCTCTTTATTAATTATGTACCCATGAAATTTCAATTATCTCTTAAGCATAAGTGTCTTTGCTCACATGTTCAGTCCATGATATTCTCAACATCCTTCTGTAGAACCACATTTCTGTTGCTTCAAGTTTCATCATTTGTGATGAGATTGTCCAACATTCACCGTCATGTAAGAGGATTGATACTACATAAATCTTTTTTTCTCCCTCTCTAAGTAGCCTATTATTATTATTGAGCCTCTCTGTTCAAAAAAAAAATCAATGATACTAGCTGTTATGTAACTTGAAATATTATTGCAAGACCATCAAAATTACTTTTACTCATGATTAGTGAATATAGGAGAAAAATTATATAAATTTTTACTTTAATTAAAAGGGAATGTAATTTACTAAGACAAAAGTATATAGAAAGTGCTTTAATCACTAGATCATCCACAGTAAATTTACTTCGAGGTTCTTATAACATTTCACATTTCTTGGTAGAACTTTTATTATCACAATGTGGGATACTTAACAAAAATGAGAAAAATATAAAGAAAGAAATTAAATTAAACTAGCTAGACCATATACCTAAACATATATAAAAAATTCTTTAATTTAATTTTGAAGTATAAAATTTCAGCATCCCCTCTCCTTCGTGCACATGTGTAATTACATCAACATAATCTGATAAAATCCTAAAAGTTAAAATGCACCACACAAAAATTTCTTTTTCCATTTTGTAATTATTTAAATATTGTTTATATAATCTGTTATACGATAAATACATTCAGTGTCACAAAGAGTGACACTAAATTTGGATAGAGTGTCACATTTTGAACACAATACATGGATGCAAGGTTTCAGTATTTGATCTATTGCTACTTCCTCACAGCTAATTTCAAGTGTCTAATACAAAATCAAGTGAGGAGGGACATAATTTTTCTCAATAAACAGGAAGGATTTTAATAAAAGGAGGTGGGGCAAAAAAAATCATTTAAAAGATAAAAATTGCAAACTTAATAAATGGGAGGGTCTTATGCTTTTTTGCAAACAATCATTAAACATTGCAGATAGTTTTTCAAAAAATTGTTTTATAAAGTTCTTTCAAAAAGGGATTGTGAAAAACGAATGCAAGTATTACTGACCAAATGTAATCAACATCACTTTGGTCATTCGGAAGGGAGACAACTGCCATATAAACTAAAAGTTTAGAATTGGAAATACAAATGATTCAAGAAAAAGTCAAATATTTATAGTTCCTATCGCTTTGTCTTTACATTTAAGTTCAATCTGTGAAACTCTGAAACTGGTCACCAGAACTACTGCTTCAATGAAACTTTAGAACAATGACATGCCTTCAGTCAAAGTTAGTAACAACTCAAATGAAAATTGTCTAAAACTAGGCAAAAAATTATAGCACTGAAAGGTGAAATCTAAAGAAACAGTCACTTCAGCTCTTCTTTACAGTGATGCAATCCTAAGAGAACTAGAAGTTCTACCATGATTTATTATTAGCAGGCAGAATCTTGATGACATAAGATATACAGATGACAGTGTTGATGGCAGATACAAAAAGAAAATGGCAAGAACTCTGAGATAAGGTAGTAAAGAAAACAGGAAGAAAGGACTAACAATCAATAGTCAGAAAAGAGAATGTATAGTTGTCAGTCCAGGATGCAAGCTATTAATTGGAGATGTTAAAATCAAGCAAGTATGAAATTTAGAATATCTTGATTTTTAATAGAGGATAGAAAATCTGACAATGAACTCTGAAGGTGCATTGTAATATCAAAGACGCATTCAAAAAGCTAAGCAGAGTATTAAGAAACAGAAAAATTTCATCAAAAACAAAGAAAAGAGTGCTGAACTGCTATGTAAAATCAAATTTCCTGACAGATGAAAATGAAACAAAAAGAAACAGGGATGTGGTTTTACAGAAGGATGATGTGAATATCTTGACAGAGTAATGAAGAAGTGTTAAGGAAAATGGAAATGAAAAGAATGCATATATTTAGAAAGAGTTGAAATTTCTGGACACATAACAAGGAAAGAAGGCTTGGAAAATTTGACACACACAGGTCATGGTTGGTTGGTTGTTGTTGCTGATTTTGTTTAGCAGCATATCAATCTCCATGGGTTATTTAATGCCGAAATTTAAATATTTTATTTTTGGAGATAATGGTTTAGTGATACAAGTCTTACTAATTAACCTATAGCTGGAAGGAAAAAGAAGTGGATTCACACTCTTCCCAAGGATATCCATGCACAAGTGAATATAATGAATCCGATTAACAATTCTGAGCTATTATCCATTACATCACTCACAAATCTAAGTTTATAGCACCTGGTATTCACAAGCAGTCACCTATCTAGGTACTGACCAGGTTTGATATTGCTTAACTTCAAGGATTGTACTACAACTAGTGTTTCAATATGATGTGGCCTTAAGCCCAGAGACAGAAGGAAACAGCAAGTAACGTACTTATTGAGTATGGATAATGGATGACAGAAAAGCAGAGAGCAACAAAGAATAGGAAGTTGTGGAGAACTATAATCGCCAACGTCCTGAAAGGACACAACACAAGAAAAAAAGACAATAAATGAAAAGTAACTGGTAAAGACTGAATTATTCTTTGATTAAGGGGCCAAACTATGGAACTAATAATATACCAAAATGGATTTAAAATAAAATTCCTTGTCCCAACATATGACAATCAAAGAGAGTCAATAAAAGTCAGATGAAGTTGATATATATATATATATATATAAAGCAAACATTATTTTATAATACAGAATTGGTTGTAAAATGTAACAATTTTTCATAGGGCAAACACCCAAGCATGAAAAAAAGAGAAAATCTCCCACCTACCTGGTACGACTGACCCAGTTGATCAGGCCGCTTTCCCTCAAGTAAACTCCCCCGTATGGCTGCATTTTCCAGACGGGGTGCACCCCTGCTATCACTCGGTCCAGTAACAGAAGGGGTCATTATTCCAGCAGACACAGTGGAAGAGGTCATCACAGGTGTGGACATAGCGGCCGAGGCCATTATTGGAGAGCTGCTCACTGCCCAGTCTGAATTCAACTCTACATAGAATAAACAACAAAAAAAAAAAAAAAAAAACATACATTTATTTTGAAATAAAGCAAAATATTCACTATGGTCTCAATAAAGATATGTGCAAACAATATTTATATAAAAAAAAAAAAAAAAGTTATGTATAGACCCACTTTTGGGATCTAGTCATTGATTTAGGTTAGTAGGCTCTGAACTTGGTGCTAAAAAAAAATAAAAACAAAAACAGAATACAAAAAGCTTAAAAAGTATCCCTTATTATGTGGAAGGGTCTTCCAATGTATGCAGCAGTGGATTTATATTTCAGAGTTGTATTTCAAATTCAACACTTGTAAAAATTAAAAAATGCATTCATATGATGAGATTTAAATAAATAAAAGCTACGCATTCATTATTTACACTTGAATTAATTACCTCGTCTTTGTTATCACATTTCATCAGGTGTTTCTGAATAAAACTTCAAGCAATTTCCAACTGAATCATTTAAATTATCTAAAAGGGGAAGGAGACAGATTGCTTTTGTCTCACTGCCCACATCTGGAGATATCTTGCCTTCATTAAGTGTTCAGTTATTGCTAGTCTTGTTTCTACTCAGTACTACACAGCCTAAGGATTGAACCCACAATTATAGCAAAAACTGAACAACCAAGAAGAGATATCCCTAGACATGGATAACAGATGAGAATAATATAAGCCTGTAGATTGAATAAAGAGTTCATTTTGAAATTCCTTCAAGGTTACCCAGATTGACAATCACCTGATGAATGTCAGAGAGTAGAACGGCCGAAATGATAACGAGGAAGATGATGATAGTTTGAATGTAAATAATAATAACACTTTATCCCAAAAATTAAAACAGAATCTATGATTCATTTGAGGTATTGGGTGGAAAATTTGAAAGTAAATTGGTCAAAATATAAGTTGTCATTTATGATAGGCCAAGAGAGAGAGAGAGAGAGAAAAAAAAAATGTCAACAAGAGGTCAAAATCATTCTTGAAAGATTTTTCCTTTATCATTACCATCTGTTATACAAGCAAATAGTGTAGATTAAAAAGAAAAAACTGACAAGATTCCAATCATAAAAACCTTTTGTTTTTATTTCATTTTTTTTTTTTTTTTGCAAGAATAATTTTTCATTCATTTTCAAATGCAGTTATTCTATATAATCACGTATCGTGCGACTTTTGAAGCTAATTTTAAGTGGATCACATCATACATGAGATATAAAATTAGCATATATACAGCTGGCACTAGCTACGCTGTTGATCAAACTATATATCCATTTACTGTAGTCAAAAAGTACAGCTGTATTTAAAATAAACAGGATTTTGATAAAACTACTCAAGATACATGATAAAATTGTTTTTTACAAGTGAAAATTTGATATGCAAGATCATGCATTACACAAATATATACAGTGTTTAAGTGCTTTTCCATTTTTTCATTCCCCCATCTATTTAACAAAATCTATTTCATATGTATATACTAATGATGAAAAGAAACATTTATTTTTTCAACACTGCATTTAATTCAGTAGCACATATTAATCAAACATTATACAGTGAAAATTTCAGATCAACAATCAGCTAATATTATATAAAGCTAGAGATTTATTAATCCACCAATATCACAAATATTTATCCTTTATTTTTCAAGTCTTGTAAAATCAGTTACAAAACATCACAGATTTCGCAATGTGGGGTAGGGAAATTACTGAGAGGGAAATTGACCCCCTCCCCCCACACCAATGATTAAAACACAAATCAAGGAGACAGTAAATGATTTTATCCAAGTCTGAAGGGTTTGGCATTTTTATGACCAGCAGTAAAGTAAAAGTAATCTCTTAAAGTAGTTACTCACTGACTGAAAAGAAATTGTGAAAATAACTAAATAAATTAAAACTTTCAGGATCAAGTGCCACTTGTCTGGAAGTTGACGTGTTCTAGCTGCAGCTTTATATAAGCAGTCACAGTTAAGAATGGTGAGTATTTTTACACCATCCAGTGATGGGTTGCAAGCCACATATTGCAACCTAGAAAAGGGCAGTAGGATTGTAGGAAAGAGTTGGAGTTCTTGCTGGCTAAGGGGAACATCGGGTCCATTAGACTGTCACGACAGAAGCAGCAAGCAAAGTTGTCCCAAGTGTCAACTACCTACTGCAGACCATGCTGAGTGAACCCATGAACAAACAACCAAATATATTGGAAACTGGATTCAGGTTTACATTACTCACTATGGCATTAATTTCACCCGATATCAAGACTTTCTCCTTTTTTTTTGTGCACATTGATACAAACAAAAATCAAAACTACATGGGGTGATTTATCCAGTTAGTGAGAAAGACTGATTCATTTTCTACAGCTTATCAACCCTTTGCAGATTATTTAAAGCTAGGAAATATTTTTAGATTATAAGAACATTTTTGAGATAATGCTTTAGTGACACAAGTCTTACTAATTAATCCATAGCTGGTGATTCATACCTATACTAAGAGTATTTGAGTGCAAGTGAATATAATGAACCCAACAGGAATTGGAACTCTACTCTCCGATTAACAATTCTGAGCCATTATTCATCACACCACTCAAACATCCACACTTACAGCTCCTGATATTTCCTAGTTACTGACCAGGCTCAATGTTGCTTAACTTTGGTTATCATACAGGAACTGCTGTTTCAACATGATGTGACCATAAGCCAAGAGAGTGTGCTGTCTGTAGGTTTACAATATTACGCTAGCCTAAAACTTGATATTTCCACAAGAATTTTTTTTTTTTTATTAACATGAATATTATATTTAGTGGGTACATGTGTTTGAACCCTTTATTATATTTTTATATTATTTTTGATAGCATTCAAATTGTTACTTAGAAACAAACTGCAAATTAACCATCATTGCATTTCTATTACTCAGCTACAGATTAATTGATATCTTAATGAGTTAAAAGCAAACTGGACTTTTGTAGTTCATGACCAATTTGTTTTTATCACTTAACCATTTTTGGGTTATTTAAAGCAAGAAATTTTTTTTTTTAAAGTTTGTAAGATTTCTTTTGGAGATAATGATTTACTGTTACAAGTCTTACTGATTAACCCATAATTGGGAGAAGATGGAATCATACTTTCCTAAGAGTATTTGCATATAAGTGAATATAACAAACCCAACTAGAATTGGAACTCAGCTCTCCGATTTCCAATTTTGAGCCAATACCAATTACACCACCCACACATTCAAGCTTACACAACACCTAGTATTCCAAAGTGGTCACCCATTTAGGTACTGACCAGGCTCAATGTTGTTTAACTCCAATGATCGTACAAGAATCAGTGTTTCAACAAGACATGGCCATGAGCTTTTTGTCCAATTAGAATGTTTGAATTGAATAAGGAACCAATCAATAAATTTATAATTCCACATCAGTTTGAGTTTACATATTTTTTTTTCTCTTGGCCACTAAATATTGAAGTGTGTAGTGAAAAGAATGCATGCAAAGTTAGAAAAGCTGTCACACACAAGTTTTGGAATTTCCTAAAAAACACTCAAAAAATAAATAAATAAAATAAACTATAGTTAATAGAAATTCATCTAATTTTCTTCTCGGGACAATGAATAAAAAGTAAAGATCTCATCATTGATACACACAGGAAAGTTCTTTAACACAGAGATAATGCATGTTGGTTTTAACAAGATTTTAAGGTAAAAATAACAAGATAAAAATTGAAGTAAAAAGTAATTGCTTTCAAAAATTTTAAAAGAATAAATTTCAATATATGAAAAACAAACGTTGAAATAAAAATATATTTATATGAAAAAGAAAATGCATTCCATGCGGCACACAAACAGAGCTTGTTTCAAGTTGTTCTGGAAAAATTGTTTCATTTAATATAAATTACCAAAATTAAAATTGAGCAGATAAGCATTTAAAAAATAAGGGTATAAATTATTTAAATAAAAAAATAAAATAAGGTACATATTTATAAAAAAAAAAAATATTAAAAAGGAAAGTCACATTTCAATTATTTTATTTTTTTAATTAGTAAGGTTTCCCTCTAATATCTTTAATCAGAATAAAAAGTGAATATTTTAATATATTAATTCATTTTTTGACTCATTTAATTTAAACTTATTTAAAACAATTAGTATATTTTTCTTTTCTTTTTTGTTTGTGATTTTCTCTTCTTTTGCCAATGTTATAACCACTCAATGAAACAAATTCAAAAAGAAATAAAATTTGCTTTTTTGGGAAGGAATAAATAAAGGATTTTTTTTTTTTTTTTTTTGAAAGATAGGTATAGTTCTGATAGTACTTACCTAATTTCTTTATATCTACAGAGAAAAATATATAAAAAAAAATATAAATAAATAGGAGAAAGAGAGAAAAAATGTCCAAATTTTAAATCTAATTGAAAAGCCAACGAATCAGAGTCAATTTCAAGAATTCATATTTGCAAACAGAAACGTCCTAAACACTGTGAGGACACTAAAAGCATTTGGTGACCAAAAATAATTTTTTGTTTTCAGATTTTTTTATTTTTTTTTTTTAAATTTTATTCAGTTTCCATTTTGAAAGATTTGATTCCCTGCAGACTAACATCCTGATCTATACATCACCATTTCATATAACTAATCATGTCTTAGTTTTAAGTATCTTAATAATATTGAACGAGACAACTTTATTCTCTGCCTCACATTAAAATTATTACAGATTGTTCTTCAAATTACCGAGGTTGGTTTCAAATTCTGATTTTTTTTTTTTTGGCAAATAAACGTAAGATTATTTACAATATTTACAATGTTCAAGCCATTGTCCTCATCTTTATTGTCAACATTCCCAACCTTTCGGCCATTGTATGCTCCAGCCTTCTTCAGGTGATATACTTTGGAATTTCCAACCAAACCCTTTTATTTCATAAACCGAGTAGATTGTTCTAGTTCCACATACCATGCCTTTCCTGGATATCCCAGTTTCAGCTATTTCCGTTTCAGTAACTCAACAGTAGACGAAATAA